GTTCCTCAACTGTGGATGACAAATTCATGTATCCCTAGTTTCTAGGGGAAATCCATATAGATGCAGAACTCTAGCAGTGAAAACTGGAAGTAGATTTTTAATTCAAGCCATCCTCAATACACTAAATATGTGTTCCATACAAAACTGTGTAATGTGGGGATAAGAGACAGACCAGCCCTACCCATATAGAATGAGGCAGTTGCAGATTTGGGATATAAGGGAAGGATAGCAAATTGCCAGGTTTTTTTTAGCTTTTGTACTGTAGCCAGAAATGAGGAACAGTGTTTGAGGGGAAACCCAAGAAGGTATGGTTATTGGCCAGTCAGGTGCCTGCTTTAAATTCCTTCCCAAGAAATATTGGTTGGAATCCTGTTGCTTAGCTAAGCAAGGTAGGCCTTTGAGTCAATGGGAATTTGATAAGTCATTTCCAATGGTTTTAACAGGCCTATTCTAGTTGCAACTTGCTTTAGTGTGGTGAGCCAAAACTAGAGTAGGTCCATTTAAATCAATCTACAGAAGAGTTGACTCACCAAACCCCTCTGATTCCTTTAGTATGACTTTCCTTGATGGGCAACAGGATTCCAGCCAGTTATTGCAACATAAAAGCATTTAACAACCTAACAACTTCTCTCTCTCTTTCCCTTTGTTGGCACGGGGTTTTCATAAGCTAACAAATCTATTTTCTTGATGCATCTTGTTGAGTTTATTGTTTGTTGGCACATTCATTGAAACTCTGTCCACAGGTTTTATTCAGCTATGGGGGGAAATGGCTTTTTTGGACTTCCTCGCTGCAGTATTCTGGAAGTTGCAGGTCAAAGAACCTAATGTTTCCTATTCCTAGTTTCATGCACTGTGCATTTTGTTCTTATTCAGGGATTTTTACATTTAGGTTCTTTCATTTATGCTTTTAAAATGGCCCTGAGCAATCTGCTAAAAACATGAACAAAAGTTGTCATTTAAAAGGGATGGGAGAAATCCGCTATATTGCAGTCAACTATAACTCCACAGCTCTCCTTGACTATTACCCATGTTGGCTATTCCCCATATTCTTCTGACAGTGGTGCTATGACTGAAATCCTGTTGATGCAGCTATGCTTGTGGAAAGCTGATTAAAAAATTCCTACTTCTGAGCTGCAGCTCCCACAGCTCTTATGTAATCCCTTTCATCATGCGGAAGCCATGGGAGCTACAGCACAGAAGCAGGAAGCGTTTCATTCCCAAAAATTTCCCTCTGCTGATGACATCATTAGCCTTCCATGGATGTAGTTGTGCCAAGAAAATTTCATCTTGCACTTAACATGGGAGTAATTTCCACTGAACTCAGTGGGAGATTTTTTTAAAAAATAAATAAATATGCAGATGACTTGAATGTTTGTTTAACAAAGGCTCTCTCCTTAGATGTTAAGCAACATTTGCATTTCTAATGACATGTTTTATGAGCTAATAAACTGGGAATAGCCAGCATTTGTAGTCATAAATTAGGGTCACTATTAGTGAAGCCTTCCTCTTGCTCTTTGTAAACTTGGATCCTAACATGGAGCCAATTGATATTTTCCATGGAACACAGCACATTCTTTGTCCCCCCCCCCTTACTTTTAACAAATAGGGTGTTTTTAAATGCTCTTGTTCAGAGGCACTCTTGGAAAATAAAAATGTGGGGCAGCTGTATCTCAACATTTCATTGAGAAGTGTGTCCAGATGTCTAGAAGAAAGAACAGTTAGAGGTTAAGAGCATTCCCGGATAGCTAGAAATAAGAATGCAACCTTGAGGAACAAGAAGAGATGTCAGGGAACAAAAGTGGTTGAAACTGTCTATGGTTTCTGTTGAGTGTGCATGTGGTTTCCAAGTTCCTATGTAGAGATGGACACATATTGATCCAGTACACTTTGTAAAAATCCGCCGGTGCATTCCCTCTCCCAACCCTCTCAGATGAGGAGGTGGGATGGGGAGTCTCACTGTGTAGCTGTTGAGTGGTCAGCTGCCAGAGGAGGTGGGGAAGGGAAGCATAAGCTCCTGGCCAGACTGGACAGCCACCCGAGGAGGAGGACCTAGGTGGTGTGCAGCAGATTCTGAGTGGGCCAGCCATCAGGGGGGTGGGGGGAGGTAACTCACAGCACCTCTGGTGTCCCGCTGATGAATTTTTACAAAGTGGACCAAATCGATTCATTCCCATCTCTGTTCCAATGTTTGGGGTTTATCTTACCTGCAGACATGTTTCATCAGCCTACGGTATATTCATACTACCCTGAACATACTTGATCTCGTCTGATTTTGGAAACTAAGCAGGATCAGCCCTGTTTAATACTGGGATGCGAAACCACAAGGAAACACCAGCTAGTGGTACAAAAGAACCCTTACAAGAGACGGGCATGAACTGCTGGTCCAGCGGTTTGTCGTGGTTCATTTACAGTCCCAACAGATATTGGGTGGTTTGGTGCCCCACCCCCTGTGGTAGGCACCCACTCAGAGGGTGTGTCCTGGCTTCCCTGCCATGCTTCCTCCGGGTACTGCCTTTGAGTGGGCACCTGCCAGAGGGGGCAGGACACCGAACCACTGAACATCTGTTGTGGCAGTAAACGAACTGGGCCAAACACCCAAACTGGTGATTCATGCCCATCTTTAATCCTGACCAAATTCACCGGAGCTGAGTTGGATGGACCAGTGGCCTGAGACAGTGCAAGGTAGATCTTGTGTTTCTCTGACCATCACCAGATTGACTTCAGTCAAGTGAACACTTTATTGTGCTTTATGGGCAAAAATCTATGTTTTCACATTTGCAGCTCAAACGCGGTGACTCTTCCTTGTGCTCCGTTTTTTGCCTGAGTTACTTGTCTTGGAGCTTCACTGACATGCAATAGGTCTGGGAGCAGAAAATTGTGAAATCAGGAGAAAAGCTCTGTGTTTTGAAGCCCAGACCCCCATCTCTGCCTTCCATTTAGGTTCTTGGGCAAGTTACACTTCATTTAGCTTCACCTATTTGCCTTCTGGGAAAGGATGTTATTACAGTATATCTCAGTATTCCAGATGTGTTCACTGGCCCCTTACTTTGAGAACCCCTGCCCTAAAATGTGGAGGGAACTTGATTTTCTTAAATATGATTTTGGACTGTTACTTGGTAATCTTCTCAGTTATGTGTTACAAGAAAACAAACATTTTGTTAGCGTAGAGATTTTGATGTACACAAAAGTTCTTAAGAGGCAGGAAACATAAACCTAGAGTGACTCACTGTATGGTAGTGGAGGGTGTAGTTTTCATAGTTCTGTACAACTAGGATGAAAGTATCTATTGTGGTGTACAGTGGTGTCTTGCATTACGACGTTAATTCATTCCAGCGAAGTCGCTGTAGAACAAAAATGTTGTAATGCGAAAATAAAAAGCCCATTGAAATGCACTGAAACCCCTTCAATGCGTTCCAGTGGGCTGGAAACTCAACATCCAGCGAAGGTCCTCCATAGGGCGGCCATTTTCGGTGGCTGTCTTGTGAGGAATCCGTCCCGGAAAACAGCGGGGAGCCATTTTATTTACCAGGCAGCCATTTGAAACCGCTGATCAGCTGTCCGAAAATCATTTTGTGAAGAATCGGTTCCCAAAGCAGGGAACCAATCATCGCAAAGCGAAAAACCCGTATTCAGACCATCGTTTTGCGACTGCAATTACGATCACAAAAAGATTGCCGTAATGCGGTTTCGTCGTAATGCAGGGCAATCGTAAAGTGAGGCACCACTGTAGTGGATAGAGCAGTGATTCTCAACCTTGGGTCTCCATGTGTTCTTGGAGTGCAGTTCCCAGAAACCCTTGATGGTACAGCTAGTGGTGAAAGCTTCTGGGAGATGCAGTCCAACAACATATGGGAGCCACTGGGATAGAGTGATGGTCTAGGACTCTGGAAACCAGGGTTCAAATCCCCACTTGGCTATGGAAGCTCACTGGAGGTGTTGAAGTGATAAACGACTCCTTAAATATATCACTTACCTTGAAAGCCCTATTAGGGTCACTATAATTTGGGTCTGACTAAACAACCAAGATGAGCCGAGGCGGCTCATCACACAGAGTGAAGGCTGCATCATTATGTATGCATACCTGGGAATAAATTCTTTCTGCAGAGTGGATCTAAATAGTTGAGCTTGCAGTTGGAAAGTGGTAAGATATTCCCAGCCAGTGACAGAATATCCTCAGAGTGGCATGCCAGAGCAATCAGACTGCAAATTTAGCCCATGTTTGACTCTCAGTGACTTACTGATGACCAATCACAAAACCAAGCAATGAAATCTACTAGGTACAAACTGGAAAAAGCTCATAACTGGGATGAATAGATGCCTTTTACCGCTGATGGAAGGTCTGCCTCTAAATGCAAGCTGCAGGTCTCATCTAGTTTGACCCTCAATGAAACAGCGTTCCAAGGGGAAATGCATAGCATCTGGCTGCAGGTACCAAATTAGAAGACAGATGAACATAATTTATAGGAAGTGGGGAAAAAAACTGTGGGAGTCCTCTCTGTCTTCCTTTGCGCCTGGTCGCCAGCATACATAGTTTAAAAATCTAAAGGCTCCTGCAGCTGGGAAAGGGGATCACCTTGCCAATTTTCTGTCTTTTTGTTCCTTGAGACCAGCCACATCTTCAACACTCTCCACCAAATTACAAGAACACTGTCAGTTTGAGAATAGTGCTTGAGAAGAAAGGCTGCACCTGCTCCTTGATTCAGTAAGAATATATTTTCAACCCGAATGCCTGGGTGGATGCACACAGAATTTTCAAACCAATAAAAAAAAATTAAACTGTGCATGACGTGGATTTCTTCTTAAAAGAGCGGATTCAGAACAGAGCAATTAACACAGCAATAACAAAAGGAAAATTGTTTTCTGTCCGTTTTGCTTCCTGCAGCTAAACCTATATCCCTGTCAGCCTCTAAGAGAACACCAAATGCAAACATCCTGATCACGTTAAAAAGTGGGAAGATGAGAGAGAGAGAGAGAGAGAGAGAGAGAGAGAGAGGCAAACATCAAGGCTCAGTTTTCATTTTATTGAAAAGAGAAGAAAAGTTATCAAGGAAATAGACAGGGGGAGTCATGAACCAGCATGTTTCCACAGGGGAAGACAAGGTGGCTCTTGAATGGATGCAAACCCTCTCCCCTTACTCAAAACATGCCCCAGGATCTTAAGGGGGCAGGCGGCTCATGCAGCTTCATCCAATCAACCCAGAAAAGAAGGTCACCAACATTAAATTACAAGTCCGGGAGGTACAGAATTGGTGCTTTCCTCATACTCCTGACCTCTATAGTTATGGAAGGTGCTACCTTCCAAAACCACTTTCAGGTGCTCGAATAACTCAGTACTGGAGAGGTAAAGGAGGGAGTTCCTGACCTCGTAGATGCACCTCCCCAGGGTCCCACCCATCTTGTCTTTGTGGCCTGCTGCTTTGCACCTGGGCATCAGGCTGGGTCCTGTCCTGTCTCTTGACTCCACAACTGTTCTGATCTCACCCCAGGGCAATTCCAGGCCGTGGCGAGCAGTTATCTGTGCAAGGGAGGAAGGAAAGAGGGTCACTCAAAACTTTCTTGGAGGAACCAGCACTGGCTATATGGGGCTTAGCAGGTTTGGTTCCTCTTTGCATTTGATCCTAACCATCAGAGAGAGAAGGTATTAGTTGTTGCCTGGCATGAGTACACCTCTTGTGTCATGTGTTTTCCTGGGCCAACTCTTCAGGACAGGGGCTCTGCTTCTGAGGTTTCAGGAGATGCATGACAGGCGGTGGCTGGGTCATGGTGCTATGTTGTTGAGGGTCTGCTGCGCCAGATCCGGCTGGTGTGTGGTGCAGGTGCTTCCTGTACTGCACAAACATGCAGACCTTGAGGACAATAGCCAGTACATTCTTTCCCATGAAGATGCCGGAGACCCGGATGTCCCTGAAGAACACCATATTACTCCCTCTGATGAAGATGGTGGTGATGTTGATGGTGACCATGCTCATTATTGGGTAGAGCATCATGCGGTGTGGCACAATGCCTATCCCTTGCATGCTGATTTCACACAGCGAGACACAAGGGAGGACCAAGAGCAAGATGTAGCAGTAGAAAAACATCAGGCCTTCAGCCCAAATGGGCAGCCCTTTCTTCTGGGGCTCCCAGAGGTTGGCCTGGATGTCCAGCACATCCAACATGTCAACGATGACCCAGAAGAGGCGATTGCGAAGATCCTCCTTCTTTTTGAACGTCCTCACATATTCCATGTGCTCTGTAGCCACCAGCAGCACATAGAGGGCTGGGATGCAAATGGACAACAGAAGAGTCAATGCTTTGCGGGCCATGAGGTCCAGGCTTTTACGGTCCGCCTTGTAGTTCTGATAGATGAAGTAGACTTTGATTTCCAACACAAAGACATACAGGAACCAAAGGATCATGGCATAGCCTCGCTTGGCAGTTCTCACTTCTGCCCCAACCCAAACTGCCACATATCTGAGCACCACCAGGAAGCAGATGTCCCCAACAGAGACCATGATGCAAATGCCCAGTTTCCTGGAGCCCTGATTCTGTTCCACCAAGTAGGCATCCATCAGCACCATGCTGCTCATGATGAGTGTGGTGGATAGGCATACGTGGGATTTGTTAATAGGTGGGGGAGGAACCATCCTGAAATAAGAAACACACATAAGTATTAGTTCAATGGATGCAACACCTTTGTAGTCACAGCCCTGCACGAGACTCTTATGTATTGCAGCTTCAGCAGCTTCTGGTGGGTACAGCTCATTTCCATATCTATGCATACTAATGGTTCCTCAGTTGCAGAAATCAAATTCATGCATGCTTCATTTCCAGGGGGATCCATACAGATGCATCATTTAGCAGTGAAAACTGGGTGTAGATGTTTAATCCAAGCTACTCTCAATGCACTAAATAGGCACTCCATGAGGAAAAAAAGTATAATACAGGGATAATAGTTAGATCAACCCTACCAATAGGCAGAATGTGGCAGTTGCCCTAGGCAGTGGATTTGAGAAAAGAGCATCAAACTGTGAGTCATTTCGTTGGTGATTTTACTGCCAGATGAGTAGTATCTGTGGGATTTTCTGACTTACAGTATCTGCACACAGCACGGCAATCCAAAATATGAAATAGAAAAGAAATATAAAATTTATGTTAAACTCTCATTCAAAACCCAGAATCTTTCATATTGCAGAAACTCTCTTTCAGAAAGCCATGGAAAACTCCGAAAATGAAAGAAAGTGCTCTTTTGTGTTTTTCTCCCATTTGGGTTAATCTGGAAGTCCAATCCCCAGTTCTGGGAGCATGGTTCTTAACTATCCTTTTTGGGACGGCTCTAGAGAATCCAGTGATGATATGCTAATTGTAGGTAATTTAAAAAAAAACAACACAATTCTTTTAAAATGGGCACTCTCCCTGTTTAAAATACTTGTATGCATCACTGTTGTTCTATCCTATATCTGAGATCTCAAAAGCAGCTAATCGTGCATATTAAAAAGTTCTTAATTAGAACATAAAAACAATAGAAACTGCTGATAAAGAGAGAGGTGGAGGAAAGCAGGAAGCTAGAGAGGCAAGAGGAAAAGAGGAAGATTAAATATGAGACAGAGGCACTCAATAAGGGAAACCACAGCTTTGAGTCAGCAAGAACTGAAGAGGACTACTAACATAAGATATTTTGGATGACACTCAGTCAGAGGGTCATCAAAACTCAAATTCAACTTGATGACACACAACAACAACAACAACAACAACAACAACAGCAACAACAGCAACAACAACAATGAACACAAAACTAGTAGCCCAACTAGTCCCAAGTCCTGTTGGAAATGTTTCCACTATACACTGAAATGCCATTATGAAGAAAACCAGGAGGACTGCCCACAGCTGCACACTCTATAGCAGGGCTGGAGAACCTTTTGACTTTCTAGATTTCCAATATTAGAATCTCTTATACTTGACTATGCTAGTTAGGGCTCCTGAGAATTGGAATTCCAAACATCTGGAGGACCAAAAGTTTCTACATCTTTTATTTAGCAGCCTGGATGGTATAACTGAGATGTTCTTCGCCTGGGTTCCAAGCACCTATGCATGTCTTCTGTCATGGCAGGATTTGTCACACTTTTGGCTTCTAAGACTATTTTTAGTTTGTATTTATATGTTCTGTTTCTGTTTTCGTTTAATATTGTGATCTTACTGTATGTTGCATGGGTCCTAGTGAACAGAGAAATGATTTATGAATGATTTAATAATAAATTTTTATTAGGCAATAACCAGTATGGTCCAGAAATAGACTCTACACCAATGCAATAGACATTAATTTATATATTGGCCAAACTCCTGTTGCATAACTCCGCCTGCATAATTCAAATTCTCTAAGTGGTTCTAAAACTCATTCTTAGGCACAGGTCCTATCCAACAAACAGCTCTGTGTGAAGAGTTATTGCACAACCAACTGCACAGCCAGACATGCAATGCAGACTGCCAAGACTTAACTCTCCACAAACGTCTGCGCCTGTGATTCGTGCCACACCAAGTGCAACAGGATTTCAGCCATTGTATCGGATCCTACTTTTTGTTCATGATAAACTCAAAGGAACACACATGGCTCTTCTCCTTCCAGCTGAATCCTCACAGCAGCCCTATGAGGTAGGTCAGGCTGAGAGAGTATGATTGGCCCAAAGTCACCCACTGAGATGCAACTCAAGAGTAACATGTTTCTAAAAATGACTCCCATGCAGAACAGCAGTATATTTTCCCCCTCCAGCTGAAGTTTCTGAATGCATTTCAAAGGCATCAAAGGCCCCTAACGCTGTCCAATCTAGATATACAACTGTGTGCAAGTGTGTGTTGGTTCTAAGAACAAACACACAAGACTAACTGTGGCCAAACACCTTTGGCCATAATCACCACCTAGATATCCTTTGAGAAATGTGTGGCTTTTTTTAATGGGAATGCAACCTCTTTTCAGAAAGACTGAACTTTATCCCCCGATAAGTGAGTGCTGCCTGGATTAAGTCTCAGTTTGTCGAGCTTCCAGTCCAATATCGATCTCAAATCTTTATTTAGAACTTCTGTGGCCTCCCTGAACTGTGATGAAAAAGGAATACAGGCTTAGGTGCCATCAGCATACTGATGGATGATGCACTACAGCCCTCTGAGAATATTCCCTATTTATTTCACCTAGATGTTAAATAGCACAGGCTACAAAGAGAAATACAGTACTAGATTCTGATAGAGGTCTCCTAACATCGCTTTATTCTTCTTGTTATACAGCAGTGCTTCTCAGCCTTCGGTCACCAAGGTGTTTTTGAACTGCAGCTCCCAGAGGCCTTCGCCATCAGCTGCATGGCTAGGGTTTCTGGGAGTTGCAATGCAAGAACACCTGAGTTACCCATGGTTGAGATCTACTGTTCTACAGGAAGGGTGAGAACTGCTATAGAATGTGCCCCCAGCCTCATCCTGCCTAGGTACTCCACAAACATACTAGAAATATCAATATTGAAAGTTGAAGAGAAATTTAGCAGAACTCACCCCTGAAAACACAACCCGAAAAGGTAGAAAGGCCTCAGCTAAAACCTAGAACGTATCTATATCCACAAGGAAACTGGTTTTTTCCAAGCCCCTTGCAACTTTCAATGTCCAGCCTAGAAAGGGGATTCTGGCTGCAGCTCCTGAAACTTTAAGAAAAAAAGTGCTTTTCTGCAGACAGCTTGTCTTTATTTAAAGCAGAGGTCCCCAACGCCCCCCTCCGCGGCCCAGTGCGGTCCATGGCCTGAGTCAGACCGGGCCATGGAGATAGACCTCCTGCCCTCGTACACACTCACCCCCGCACAGCTGATTTGTGCACACCCGTACGAGCGTTGTGCTGCCTTTTGTGCATGCACACGAGCACACGTGCACCTACATGCACGCTCCTGCACAAGTGCCACGCTGCCGTTTGCGCATGCACATGCACTCTCATTTAAACGAGAGAGCGCACGTGCGCTGGTTCGCGCATGCACATGAGCGCGGGGGTGCCTCGCTTTCCCCAGCTGGTCCAGAGGCTGAAAAAAGTTGGGGACCCCTGATTTAAAGGACAGCAATCTCTGAACCCTGAAACCACATTCAAGGTAAACTGGAGTGTGGAATGCACCCAATGGGTGATCTGATGCACAGTGTGATTGTGGCCATGACATAAAACCAGTTTTTCAAATGTCTGAGAACATAGTAGTTTTAGTCATCCAAAATCTTTGAAATTTGCAGAGTACTGTATGTGGATGGCTGAAACCAGTCAGCCAGAGCTGAAAGGAAACTGGAGCATGGCAACCTGGCTCCTCTTGGTCGACATTCAAAACACTCCCTGCTGAGGAGAAGGAAGAACCTTTAGACGAAAGCTTTGAAACTAATGTGGAAGGCTGAAGCTATTTATTTGAAATAGATGTTCAGTGGCAAGCAGATTTGATTGATATGCAGCAATTTCCTTGGTACAACTCTGTCTGCAAGTACATTTTAATGGTTATACATATTCTTTCTAAATATGCATGGGCCTGAGCTCCTGAAGACAAGACAGGCAAGGAAGTGTCCAAAGGTTTCGACACTATTTTCAAGATGGAAGAAAACCTGGCAATTTGCGAACACACAGGGATGTTGAATTTCTAAACAAGCCCATAGTTGTAATTGTTTTTTTTAAAACTGCAATTGTTTTTTTTAATGGGATTCATCACTTTGTCACTAATAATGAGGTCAAGGCAGGGGTTGTGAAAAAGTTTAACACTAGACATAGAATTTTCATATTTGCATCCCTGGGGATGCAAATATGAATATTGGCACCAAAGTTGCCTTGGAAAATTGCTTTGGTGGGGGAGGGAGGGTCCGACTTTCCCAGGCACCTGTAGTTGGTGTCAATATTCAGATCCCCTGGGATACAAATATGAATATTTCATGTCTAACAGAACTTTAAAAACAAAAGTGTAGAAGCATTTCATAGCCAATAATACCTATAGGTATCTGGCTCTGCTACCACAGTTCCTTAAAAGTAATAATCACCATATTCACGAAACTATTAAGTCTGGGCTTGTTGTTATTAAACGTTACAATGCCTTGGCAGTCTGAAAAAAAACATTTATGGAGACTTAATTAAAATAAAAGAGGATATTCTACGATGCAGAAAATGAGACCATATGAGGATTTCTAGAACAAAGGGTGTGTTTCCCAAGGGATTTCACCACAGAGATAGTTATAGTGGATCAAGTCTTCAGAAGAGCGAAGAGGCTTGTATTCCTCTTAACAGATTTTGAAGGGGAGGCTATTGTTGATATGTACTTTTTATCCTGAGGAACTACAAATGGTTAATACCAAGGAAAACAAAGCGTACGGGATTAAAAACATGCTGGACACAAAAAGCCATGGCACAGGAACATTTCACTTAATGAAACTGGTTGAGGTGGCCTAGCAAGCTTAATAGCTGGGTGTCTGCTTCTGGTCTGTGAAATTTTATAGAAGGTTGAAGAAGCAATGGGGGAGTCATAGATTTTGCTTTGTACTCTGTAGCAATGCTTGTAGAATTTTTTTTCTATAAGCTTTATTATCTGTTTAGTAAGATTGCTGGAGCCTCCAGGGGTATGGGAAGCTGAGAAACAGTACCCACATGTGAAATGATATAACATCAGATGTGAGGATAAGACATGGCTCTACCTCTTGCAGCAGGGGGAGGTGTATGCTATGCCAACATTCCTGAACGGCTGGAAGACATGAACTGACATATAATAAAATGCTGTGATTCCTCTGAGGTGATTGTGTGTCCAGAAATGTTGTGCTTCAAGAAAATACAGTATTCCATACACATTCCTAGCTAGTGGTGAACTTGCCTGTATATTTGGCTTGTTTTCTGATATCTTGTCAAGGCTCTGCCTTTCACAGCAGATATCACAGGTGGGAGGTTGGAGTTGGGGGGGGGGTTAAAATGTTTAGCACCTTATATAAGTTACATGAATATCGCTGAGCAGCAGATACAAGGAGACTTTGTACTCCACAATGTACCACTGTATGAATATCTCGACATTAGTTACAACAAACCTCACTACATACGTGCAAGTAAACACCACATAGACACCATCA